GGGGATGGGGGTTACAGGGTTTGGGGATCAACGGGTGCTTGGGGGCTAAGGGAGTTTGGGGTGGGAGTGGGGGGGGACCCTGTTGGGGGGTGCTGCGAGGCCCTTGGGGCTCACTGAGGTCCCTGTCTCCCTGTGCAGGCTGCGGAGGCGCCGGGCAGACATGGTGGGCTACGACCCCGACGCCAAGTGCGTCTCCACGCTGGAAGCGGCCGCCGCGGGATCAGCCTCCGGGCTCGTCAATCGGGTCTGCGTCAGTCCCTTGGATGTCATCAAGATCCGCTTCCAGGTAGCTGCCCCGCGGCCGGCTCGGGGATAGGGGTGAAAGGGCCCATCGGAGAGCAGGGACGGGCAGGTCCTCGGGTCACCTCACCATGGAGAGCATGAAATCTGCCTGTCAGCCCTGCCCTGGACTGTGAGCAGGTTGTGCAAGACAGCAGCGATATCGTAGGGCTACTGTTTCTGTTTAGTTAACTTATCTTGGCTATTTGAATGGGATCTTGTGTTTCTTTAGATTTTTTTTCCCTTTCTTCCTCTTTTTCTAAGCAATCTCCATGATTTAATTGAATTTCGCCATCATTCACACCGATTGTATTCACTTTGTGCGTGTGTTTTTACTCTGGTGAACCTTTGGAGCCTTGCAGCAACACATTCCCTGTCGTTTCCTGATGTGACTCTGAGGGAAGGCAAAATGTCTCCACTTAGAGTTGCTTGTCTGTCAAGGTTGTGAGTTCCTGATTTGGACACCTGAACCTGACTGAAATTGAAAGTATTTCCTATGTTTTTTCTCCAGCTTCAGATTGAGCAGCTCTCCTCCAGAAACCCGCTGGCCAAATATCATGGCATCTTGCAAGCCGCACAGCGCATCCTCCGGGAGGAGGGCTTGTTTGCCTTCTGGAAGGGCCACGTCCCTGCTCAGTGCCTTTCGGTTGGCTTTGGAGCTGTCCAGGTAAGGGGAGCAGGCGCCAGCCAGGCCCAGAGTTTTAGCACTCCCTGCTTTGCGACTCTTCAGCGCTTCTGCGCTGGCAGATGAAGAAAAATCCAGGTTTGCACTGTATTGATGCAAGCCAGCCCCAATTTCAGAGGTGTGTACTGTGTAACACTAGTCTGTAATTCCTAAATAAATGCCCCTGAGCTTCCTCCATGGCACTTGTTCTGCTTGGCCAGCCTGGAGCATAGCTAAGACTAGGGCAAGGTCAGGTCGGTCTGTTCCTGGTGGCCCAGACAAGTCCTGTTTGTTCCTGATACTTAACTCTTCATGTTCCAAGTCTTTTGTTTTGTTATTTCCTTACAAGCTGATAGGGTGGCAAAGTCAGTGAGGCTAATGACTGTGTGTTGCACAGTGTTGTTGTGCTTTGTAAATAGTAACAACGTATTTTATGATGGCTGGTTGAAAGAGTAGTGGGAAGCGTATCTGTAATACAGTAAATACTTTTCAGGTTACATAGGGCATTAAATGAGATTGTTACAACTGTAAGTAGAAGACTGCATTGACAGAAGTATTGGGGAACGGATTCCTTGGGTTGCTGAGTGTTCTTTGAACAAATGCTCCACCAGGTTGTAAGTTAGAGGGCTTCTGAAGGACACACAGAAGTTGGTTACAAGTGAGGAGGAGTGGAGCCCTTTTCGTGAAGTGAAAAAGCAACAGATCTGTGGGTGATAAAAGTTGCCTCTCTGACTTGTGTGTGTTTGTTTCTGTAGTTCATGGTGTTTGAGGGCTTGACAAAACTGGTGCACAACGTCACGTCGTACAGTGCCCGCGACTCCTTCGTGCACTTCGTCTGCGGCGGCCTCTCCGCCTGCACAGCCACTGTGGCCGTGCAGCCCGTGGACACGCTGCGCACCCGCTTCGCTGCGCAGGGGGAGCCAAAGGTATGGGTTAGGAACTCGATTTTTGGAATTGCTATTCACGACAGAAGCAATATTTCATTTGTGTGAACACGGGAAGTTTGAAAAGTACATCACAGCCCATGAGTTGACATAAAAGAACAGGTCCTGCTGTTGGGCAGTATTTGTACTGTTGCCAAGTTATACTCTGTGCTGTTGGCATAGCTTTCTTAATTATGTTGTACTGCTGCATGCTTTGTATGACTCCTGACAGGTGATCCAGAAAGAAGGAGAAACTGCCCTTATCGGGGTAGCTTGATTTTCATTTTAGCTGTGGGCCATTTAAAGAATATTCTGTCTGTTGTACATCACGAGTTTAAAATTTTCCACTTATAAAGAGTCACGGTTAGGTGATGATGATGATAGATATTAGTTACCTTTCACCTGTGTTTCATTTTCTTATTTAGAACAGAATTGATCTCCATGCTAATTAGGTCTGTTATTACTGGAGAGGTGTGAGTTTGTATCAGACAGGGCTTTGGCATAACATGCAGTAAAATCACAATATATTCATATGAATTCTGTTGCAGGAGCGAGCAGAGACATTAGGAAGAAAATAACTATGTCTGTGAGGCAAGTGGTAACAAAGGATGATGTCTCTTGGCTCTGAACTTTGTTTCTTCCCCTTAGAAACACAGCCTGGATGCAGGATACAATGTCAGCCTGGGCTTTTTAAAATGGCTTTATCCATCAGTCCATGAAGTCAGTTGTAGTTTGTGCAGTGGGAAATTTCTATCACCTTTCCCAGGAAATAAGCTGACCATTGGATTGCTGGTTTGAACTCCTTCACTGAGCATCTTTCCTCCTCTGTGCTGCCTAGATCTATCACAGCCTTCGCCATGCAGTTGTGACCATGTACCGGACAGAAGGGCTGTGGACTTTCTACAGAGGTCTGACCCCCACAATCATTGCTGTCTTCCCCTATGCTGGTCTCCAGTTCTCCTCCTACAACATATTTCAGCAGTTTTCCGAATGGGTGATTCCAGCTGAAGGAAAGAAAGCAGGTAGGCATTGGAGGCAGTGATGTCTGTGTTCCTGGGGGGAAAGGGAGGATGAATGCTAGTTTGGGAGACTGACGTAAGCCCAATTTTCCTTCCTTTCAACCTTGTCAGTGCAAAATGTCAGTGCAGTTTCCACCTGCACAGGTATTACAAAGATAAGTGTCGTACAGTCTGCAAACACTTTGTGTTATAGAATGAGTGTGATGGCAACTTGGGTAGATGGGAGAGCAGAGTGTCACAGGGGCCAGGCCTGGGCACTCTTTCTTGAGCAGTGGGCACACTCCTGCTGTGGAAAGACCATGGCTGGAATGATTTTCTCTCCTTTCATTAGTGCTATGGGGACAGGACTCTCAGATTTCCTCAGGAAATCTGCCTGCAGATTGCAGCACAGCTGTTGCAGCAGAAAATTCATCGAGTCTAATTTAAAGCTCCCAAGCTCATGGCTTGATATTTTTGTGTTGATTTATAGCTCCATTTTAGGAGAACCTCATCCTTATGCAGTCTGTCACCTTGACATTCCAGAGCCCAGTCACTCCCAAGGAGAGACAGCATGTGCAACATCAGCATCTTTCTGTGCCTCACCAGAGTTTCTTCAAATGGTGGAATTAATATTTTCATGATCATGCCTATGTATTTATTTTTAGATGACAGATGTTCATACTGGGTTTGTGCTGTGAGCTCGTGTTTGTCAGGAAGAAGGCTAATATCATAAAGCTCATTTCCCACTGGGCTTTGTGAAATCGTCAGGCGGTGTCAACTTGTGACTTATATTGACTTTTTCTGGATAGGAATGATTAATCAAGAGTGCAGGATTTCCAGTGACTTCTACCTGAGGGGCCAAATAAAAACTTTTCTGTCCACTAGTGACAAGTAATTCTTTGTTTCTTTTTTATATTGTCACTTGGCAGAGCAAAAGACTGAATTGGGAAGGATTCAGTGTAAGGAATCAAGATGAGCTGTTGTGCTCTGGCTCTAGTGAGTGTTGTGACCCTGATGCAGGACGTACATGTTGAGGTTCTGTGGCCTTAACTGTGCAGAAGAGACAATGCAGCTTTCCAGGGTCTTTTTTGCCCTTACTGCCTATGTATAAGTGATTTTACCTCTTGTGACACTTAGAACTTCCTGCTAAACCTTTTCTTCCCTCTCTGCCATCCTCTCCCTTCCTTCCCTTCTCAGGCAATGTTAAAAACCTTGTTTGTGGCAGCTGTGCTGGAATCATCAGCAAAACCCTCACTTATCCATTTGACCTGTTCAAAAAACGACTCCAAGTGGGTGGCTTTGAGCAAGCCCGAGCAGCCTTTGGGCAGGTAAGAGCTGTTTGAATTGCCTGGTTTTCATGAGTTTGCTTTCAGATCAAGTCAGTCACCACTAGAATGAAGTGATGATTCACCAGTGGTACCTATGTAGATAGGTATCTGAAAAGCAAATCAGTCAGTTTCTGAAGACACTCTGTGAGTAGGAATCTTAAGTCCTAACCCATTGCATCGGATGCTTCTCCTCTTCCAGTGAGGCAGAGTTTGTTCTTAAGCACTGACGTGTCACAAGGTATTAAACCTTCACGTTGTGACATGACAACATGCGGATAACTAATTTAGAGACTTTAAATGTTGTAGCTGTGTTTTATTTCCCTCAGAAAACCAAAGAGTTGCCCCTCCTTACAAAATGGAGACAGAAAACAATAGCAGCACGCTCTGAAATTGTTATTCTACAAACTCGTACATAAATCATACATGCTGGAATAACCTACCTAAGCTTTTAGTGACACAGAACATGTACTTTGTCTCTACCAAAATAATTCTCTGGCACTTTCAGTTACATTAAGCCCCAGAAAGGCCTCTCCAGGCTCCGTGCCGTGATTATGCTTCTCTCATGTAGCTTGGGGCTGTGTTCTCTCCCAGGTGAGCTGTCCTCTTGCTGCTTCTTTCACCTTTTCACCACTTCTCTCCTAGGTGCGGACGTACAGGGGGCTCCGGGACTGTGTGAGGCAGATCATGCGGGAGGAAGGCCCGGGCGGGTTCTTCAAGGGCCTTTCCCCCAGCTTGCTCAAGGCTGCTGTCTCCTCTGGCCTCATCTTCTTCTGGTACGAGCTGTTTTGCAGCCTGCTGTGCACTCTGAAGAGCACTGATACCACTAAGAAGAAGAGAAGCTGAAAAGGGCACATATTTAGCTACCTGTTTTCCTCCTGGAGGGAAGCTGACAGCTCTGCTCTGTCACGAGCGTGCCGGAAACGCCTGAGCTCTGAATGTAAGAAGCAGCCTGCTAGGACCACGCAGGAGCAGACTGACAGTCTATCTTCTATCTCCTCGAATATGAGCAGATGTTTAGCAAGAGAAAAAGAAAAACAAAACCAAAAAGTGAGTGTGAAACTACCTAGCAGAGACTCTGCGCTGGAAAGGCACCTGATAAAGCAGGGGGGATTCCAGCACTGGCCCTGCATCACAGAGGTGGGTGCTGGTCTAGCTCGTGCTGTTTAACTGATGTCACCTCGTGTAGCTGCATCCACACAGCTTTATTTCCCTGCCCGTGACCTGCTGTTAGCAGCATATTCTTATATTGCACAGGTACCACTGCTGTTTTGAAGTCAGTTAAACCCTCCTTAAGGTGCATGAATCCTTGGATTCCCTTTGCTGCCAGCTCCTTCTCTTGATTATCACTTATTGACTCTGCATCCTCAGCTGCCTTAAAGACAGTGTCTTCTGGTGATTCACACTGACACAAACTTGCTCTTCCTGGAAACCTGATGAGCTTGATCGGATCTTAGAAGTGCCCATCCATCTCCTGCTGTGTCTTGCCATGCATCACGTAGGGTTTTGCATCACCTGGGGCATTTTTTTTTACAAAGAAACCTGCACATTGAGAACTCTGCTTGGAGGAGAATTCAACGCACAACAAACCCAATCCCTGCGTTGGGGTTCTTTGCTTCCCTGCTGCTGTGCAGTGAGCAAACAGATGCTATATATAATTTTACAGTCAATATTTAATCTGTGTGAAAACCATGAAGGAGAGTCCTGTGGAAACTAGCAAACAAACTCCAAAAACAAACAAACAAAAAACACTTTTGAATGTTCTAACCAGTATTTCTGAAGTGGCCTCAAAACATTTCTGAGCCTCTGTTCTACAGTGGTGCTAACAGATAAAAATGTTTTGACAAGATCAGCCCAAGTGAGAAGGATAACCCTGTAAAATTGGAATTGGTTGACATATCCTGGTGTTTGACCAGAAAAGGATGATTGAATTATGGATAGAAAAGAAGTGTTTTTCAGAAGTTTCAAAGTTGTTTTTTTTTTTTAAAGATTTACGTAAGAGGGGAAAAAAAAAGAGGAAAATGGCTCTGTTCCTCCTTTTTTATTCTCTGTTATTTCAAGCTGAGCAGGGTGTGGTGGGTCAGTGTGGGGAGGGCAAACTTCCAAGCAAAAGCACGTTAGTCATCTGGGGACTGCTGGAAAGGGGAGAGCACTGCCCTTATTAAGAGGATGGTTTAATTGTTCCTTGTGATTCAGAGTTTTTTGTGTCTCTTCTCCATTACTCAGGGTGTTAATCCCAAATGGCTTGGCTGAATTCCAGTGCGAGCAATTCCATTCTGGTGACGCAGCTTCTCCTGGTGATTTTGGTCACCTATCAGTGTTGTTCACTTATCCTGAGCTATTAGGAGAGGCTGTTTTGAAAGAGCAGCTGTTTCGCTGGTGGGGAAAATACCCAGCGAGATGCCTTGCTAGCCTGGGACAAATAACTTCATGTCTGACACGAGCTGAGATCTTTGAGTGGAAAAGGACTGAGTTCCACTGCAGGTGATTTTGGCAACTACAAGAAATTAGTTCACTGAATAGTGTTAGTGTTGGACAGGAGATGTGAGCTTCTACGAGGGAGTGTTGGCTGCATGCACTGAAGACACTGTTTTACTTAAAGAAGAAAATGCAATGAATGTGAGTTTTGAGTACAGCTTCTTGGGGTGCCTCAATCCCATTTTCCTAAGTTATTTAGGCTCTTCTGAGATCACACCAAATTCTTCTTAATAGTATTTTGCCTTTGTTAGCACTCTAGGAAGACGTTGTAACTTGTAATGACTTGGAAGACCTCATAACCACTAGTGAACTTAGCTTTGTGACGCCCTTCTGAGGCACCAAAATGCCTCGTTTCAAAGCAGGCACAAAGAGGTTGGGATTGAGACTGTCTTGACTCGTGGTAGAAATAAATGCTCTCAGGGACAGCACTGACTGTGGCAGAAAATGTTTCCGTGCTGACCTAGACTCAATATCCCTATAGAAAATCTGGGCCCATCTGTCCTGTCTAAACTTTGCAAGACTCTTGTTTTCCATTTTATGTCAGAGCTGCTGTTACCCCGTGCACAATAGAAGGAAACTGGGTAGGAACTAAGCGGTGGGAGTCGCAGCCTCTGGGATAGGGTGATTTTCTTTCGTTCTCTCAGGGGCAAAGCACAGAGAGCACAAAACTGTGCGCTCTGCTCGGACGATGCTCCTGGGATGTGCTCTGGAGCTTGAGAGCACCCGGGCTGCCACTCTGGGACGCGCCGCTCGACTGCGCCGCGGAGCGGGGAGCAGCGGAGAACGGATCCTCCTGCTCCAGGTATCCGGGGGAAGGAGAAGGAAAACTAATAAGGATAATTGGCTGTTCTGTGCTGAATTAACTAACCTGTAGCAAATAGCACAGCTGGAGTGGAGGCTCTGTGGGCTGCTTGTGCCCGTGCGACCCAGGCTCCGGAGGAGGCACCTCGTGGCTGGAGACCTTGGGTATATATAGCACCCGGGTGTATATAGTGCCTGGGTGTATATAGCACCCGGGGCCATTTATTGGGGGTGTTGCAGGTTCTGTGAGTGAAGGAGAAAAGCAGCAGCCTCAGAATATTCGGCGTTGGGTCTGAGAGTCGCTTCGTTGCCTGCCTCGCTCAGCCGCGCGTGTCTCGGAGAGGGGAGCGAGGCTGCTGCTCTGGCAAGACCCACTTGTAGCATTGGAGGCTCCGTTTCTGGAACTGGAGGAGCAGGAGAGCCTTGGGGTTGCCTTGTTCCTCCCAGGGCTGCTCCTGGGAACGGAGCCGGATCCACCGGCTTCACAGCCTCAGTGCAGCGCTGGGAGCCTCCTGGGGACGGCGGGGGTTTTCACTCCCGTGTAATCCTATCAGGATGGATTTGCGTCACCCCAAATTCACCTCTCCAGCTGCTCTGCGGTGACGTTTCCTTCTAGTGCCTTTTACCCCCGGACAGTCGGAAAGCGCCTCGGCAGGCAGGGCGCTTTGATGCCCCCAAATGCTGCTCTGAACATGCCACTTCCCACTGCCCTGACAGACTCCCAGCCCCGGTAACGCTGCTCAGGATGCCTGGCCAGGGCGGTGCAGCACAATTTCTAAAAAAATGAATGTTGGGGGGTGGACAACAGTTGTGCACCGGACCGTTTTCCTCCCTCTGTTGTGGCACTGCATTTCCCTGTGCGTTTCGCTCCGGGAGGGCTTTCTGCAGCTGCTGCCTCGTGACGCGTGACATGTCCTGCCAGGCCGACGCTGCGGTATTAAAGGGTTTGTTATGTTTGTGCCCGGCTGCAGCGTCTCCTTCCCTTGCTCCGGGCGCCTACGCGGGAGACCCTGGGCGCAGCGGGCGGCGGGAGCGTGGCCAGGGCGTTGCATCCACCCGGCTTCCCGGGCGCTGCTCCTCGGCGGGCAGAGCCAGCCCCC